CCACCATCCCATGCAGGAGTTGAACCGGCAACCCTGTTGCACACTGAGCCATCCAGCCGCCCGTTGGCAGCGCGCAGCTGCTCAGCTCAAGGTGCCATGTTCAATCTTAGTTGCAAGGGGATGCAGCCCACCACCCCATGCGGGAGTCTAACCGGAAACTTTTCATTGCTAAGAGCACACGCTCTAACCACTGAACCATCCTGCCACCTGTTAGCAGCTCAGCTCGGACACAGCTCAGTGGCCCATGTGGAAATGGAACCAGTGACCCTGTTGCTCAGAGCTCGTGCTCATAACCAACTGAGCCACTCGGCCGGCCCTGTTTAGGGTTTTTAAGGCATATTATGGGGTCCAATCCATCTCAGTCCCTCAGGGTCCATCAGTATCCCTCAAATCAGTACTAACTTCTGCAGGTTCACACCAAGACTTGTACACTGACACATTCCAGTAGGATGGTGGCTGTTGTCCTAAGCATTATTATTTCCTGGCCCCTATCCCAGATGGGTTCTCCAATTTTCCAGGCTTTCAAGTTTGTTTTAACAGCCAAATAGAATAACTTGAGCCTTTATGTTGCATGCCTAGTAGGAAATTGGTGTCTTCGTGAATGTTGGAGGGTTCCTGGCTAATGCTCACACATCTTGGGCATCGCTAGTCACCTGTCACTTGGAATGGCTCCTCTTAGCTTCTCTCCTATTATAACTGCTGGCCTTATGGTCTGTCACCTCCTCTCCACATTTCTCCAGCTCTTTCTCTCTGCACTTCCCGACTCACAAGCTTGACTCTCCCTCCCTTTCCCTAGTAAAGCAAAAACCTAAAGCTATCACAAGGAAACTTCAATCTCTTTAAACATGTCATGGCTTCTAGAGAGTCCTTCACAGGGATGTCCCTTCTGTTCATCGCTAAGTCAGATCTGTAGTCATTTGGTGGGAACCCCTTTCCTGAGCATATCACTTGTTTCTCCCATCTCCTGTCTTCCCCAATCTCATGAACCCGTCCCCTGGGCTCAACTAGTAGAATACCAAATCCCAAAACATCTGAAAGTGATGTGGATGCAAAAACAAACAAAAACCCTTCCAAGGGCACACTCCTCCCATGACACAGAGTGTGTCTAAAGTATTTACACTTGTGTTATTTCACTAACGTGGGGGGCTATCTCAGGGAAAATGAATTGATCATGTAACATGACCAAGAGGACTCAACAATGTGATTCTTCCTGGAACCTAATGCATCTTCCTATTCCATTTCCATCCTTAAAGCCCCACTGGCAGTTCTTAGAATAACTGCTTTCCGCCTGGGGCCAGACAACAAGGGTTCAGAAACATTCAAGTTTGGTGTCAGAGTCCCCAACACATTGTGACAGGTTTAGACAACATGGGGTGCTATGTGAGCACGTGCAAAAGTGGGGGGTGTAATCTGAGCTTGGGAGGGTCAAGCACGGCTTCTCAGAGGCAGTGATCTCTAAGTTCCATCCAAAGGGAAGAAGGAAAGGAAAAAGTACGAGTCGAGGATACCCACAGGGCAGTGCGTTCCAGGCCTGGGAGTGGCAGCGAGCACCTTTATTTAGAGAACTGATCCTTTAGGGGGGATACAATGTAAGACACAAGAAGAGGAGGGAAAAGAAGCCAAAATCAGGAAGGCTGTCGAGTATAGCCAGTGGCACTCTTGTGTTGCCTCTCACCTCATGTGTTTTCCACTGTGAAACATCCACTGTCAATCAAAGATGAAATTAATATCGCCATTTTAATAGAATATATTTACTTTGAAACAAATGTAGACAATGCCCCCTTGTAATTGAAAATGTTAAAAAGAACAGATTCACCCCAAAGTTAATCATTTTTATGTTCTTTATGAACCAATGAAAAGCAACACTATACTTTAGAAGCCTCCAGATACAAGCCACACATTCATAAGTACTGCATTTCAGTAGATGCGCATGCAAACACACATCCTAAGTGTGAGCGCCAGAGTTGAGGTGAGTGGGAGAAATGAAGAGCTACTATATGGTGTTTGCATGATGAAGGAAGTGAAAAAAAGCCTCCAGTAATTACCACTGCCAGAAGCACAGCTTTAGGGTTTGTGGACTGTGGTTAAGGATAGAGATGGGATTGAATCTAGGCTCCGAAGTTATTTATTAGTTCTAAAACTAAGTTCTTAAAAAAACAGTGATCGCATCACCCTCAGGACAAACTGTCTTGGTCTTGATACAGGGCAGAGAGGGACTTTAGGTTAAAGTCAGCTTAGGGCTGGGTAGTTGAAGTGGAAGCAGGGGAAGCACACGTGAACAGCAAGGGCCCAGGCCTCGCTGCAAGGACAGCTGAGCTTCACACTTTCCAGAGACCTTGGAGAAGAGCAGCACTGTCTTGGTGAGGGGCGTTGGAATGCTAAGCACAGGCTGGGCAGAATGGCCCCCTGGGATTGGAAATCTCAATACTGTGAAGATGTGATTCACCTCAAATTGATATACAGATTCAAAATAGTCCCTAGCAAAAATCCAGCAGGCTTTTATGCAGAAATTCACAAGCTGATCCTAAAATGTATATGGAAATGCAAAGGCTCTAGAAGAGCCGAAACCATTTTGAAAAAGTATAAAGAACTTACACTTTCCTATTTTAAAATGTACTATAAAACTACAGAAATCAAGATAGTATGGTACTGGCATAAGGATAGAGATATAGATCAATGGAACAGAGAGTCCAGAAATAAACCCTTCTATGGTCAATTTATTGAGAAAGGTGCCAAGGCTATTCAATAGGGTAAGGATTCTTTTCAACAAATAGTACTGGGACAATTGGATATGCACATGCAAAAAGATGGAGTTAAACCCTTACATCACACTATACACAAAAATTAAACTCAAAACATATCATAGACTTAAATGTTAAGAGCTAAAACTATAGACCTTTAATAAGAAAACAAGGGAGTAAATCTTTGTGACCTTGGGTTAGGCAAAATGTTCTTATATATAATACCAAAAGTATGATTCATAAAAGAATAAATTGGACTTCATCAAAGTTAAAAACTTTTGCTCTTCAAAGACAGCATTAAGAAAATGAAAAGACAAGCTACAGACTGGGAGAAAACATTTGCAAATCATGTTTCTGATAAAGACTGTGTCCAGAATATTTAAAAACTCTTGCAACTAAATAAGATAACCCAATTTAAAATGGGTTTGAATATTTTACCAAAGAAGAGATATGAATGGCTAATAAGTACATGAAAAGCTGCTTAACATCATTAGTCATTAGAGAAATACAAACTGAAACCACATCTTACTAAAATGTCTATAATAAAAAGAAGAGAAATATCAAGCTGTGATATTGTGATAGTGTGATATCAAGTTGTTGAGGATGTGAAGAAACTGCAGCCTTCATGCATTGCTGGTGGGAATGTAAAATGATACACCCGCTTTGGAAAAGTTTGGCTGTTCCTCAAAATGTTAAACATAGATTTACCCTAGGACTCAGCAATTGCCAACTAGATATTTACCAAGAGAAATCAAAACATGTTTCCATAAAAACTTGTACACAAATGTTCATAGCAGCATTATTCACAAATAACAAAAACGTGTACACAAATGTTTATAACACTATTATTCACAATAGCCAAAAAGTGGAAACAATCCAAATATCTATCAACTCGTGAATGGGTCAACAAAATGTGGTGTGTCCATACAATGGAATTATATTCAGCAATAAAAAAGGAATGAACTACTACTGATAGATACTACAAAATGGATGAACCTCAAAACCACTATGCTAAGTGAAAGAAGCCAGAAGCAAAAGACCACATATGTATGATTCCATTTATATAAAATATCCAGAAAAGACAAATCTATAGAGACAGAAAGACCATTTAGTGGTTGCCTGAGGCCAGAGATAGAAATGGGGATTGACTGCAAATGGACACGCAGGATCTCTTTGGGAGTGATAGAAATGTTCAAAATGATTGTAATGGTTGCACAATTCTGTAAATTTACTAAAAATCATTTAATTGTATACTTAAAATGGGTGAATTTTGGGGTGCC